TTGGGTTGTTATCTTTACTCTTCCACCTTTTCTCAACTCTTGGCTTACTACCTTTTGGCATTTCGAGGTGTTCCCTTTTTATTTTCTTATGGTTAACACATGCTTCTTTATCACAGTGTGACTTCAAATAACATTATGACATGAGAACATCACAGCAATGTACCATCATTTATGACTTGCATTCTTTGCACTGTTATAGTCATTCATAGCATTTCCACAAGTATTTTTTTTTTAAAGTTTATTTATTTATTGTGTGTGTCTGTGTGTGTGTGTGTGTGTGCAGCCAGCTCAGCCCACCAGGGGGCGGGGCTGGCTGGCATGTGGTGCTGGGGGATCGAACCGTGGTCCCTGTGCTTTGGTAAGCTTATTCTAAGTAGGTGCTTTAGACCACTGAGCCATCTCACCAGCCCCTCCACAAGTATTATTAAGCACATGGTACACTGTTTTTACATTTACACTTACATTTTTAGAAATTTAACACTTATCCAAACATTAACCACTTCTGGCATGCTTCATTCATTTATGCATATTAATTTTAAAAATATGTTTATTTTACTTCCATTGTACAAGAATTGTCTTTAATTTCTCTTGGTGTACAGGCCTGCTAGTGAGAAAATCTTGCTGCTTTTCTTTGAAATTTTTAGGCCGCCTTCATTTTGTTTTTTGGTTTTTTATTTATGTACTTGGTACCGGGTCTCACTGTGCAGCTCAGACTCATAGTGATCTTCCCATTTTCAGCCTCCCCAGAGCTGGGATTATAGGCGTGCGCCACACATCTTCAGAGCTCAGTGTTGTGGAAATATAATTTTAGTATTTGCATTGTGTATAGCTTAGTGTAACATATATAGTAAGTTATAGTATGTATGAATGGCCATAGAAATCATAAGAGCTAATGATATTTAATAATCTAACATTTTCAGGGCCTACAATGCACCAGGTGCTATTTTAGCTGTAAAGCTGGGTCACTGAATCCCCAAGGGATCTTTGTGGTGGGCTCAGCATGCCCAGGGGCAGGCAGGCCAGGCATGTGTTTTGGGGGGGGATGGAGCCCAATTCCTTGCACTTGCCAGGCAGGTGCTTAGACCACTGAGCTGAGCTATCTCCCCAGCCCTGCTTTCATTTTGAAAGATTATGTTACAAAGTAGAAAATGTAAGCTTAACATATTTGCATTTTATTTTCTTTGTAAAAAAAAAATAACTTTCCTATGGTTCTCTGATTGGAAGTTTTTTCATACATCTGCTTTAAGTCTTACCTTTGTTCTTGGATATGTAATGCATCTTATTTTTAACAGTGTTTTGTTTTATTGTTTTAAACAATAATTTATTTTTAAGGTTTTTTGTTTGGTTTGGTTTGGGGTTTTTTTTTTTGCAGGTTTTCACTACACAGTTTGGATTCATGATCCTCCATGTTTCTGCTCCCTAGTGCTGGCATTACAGGCCTGAGCCAGCACGCCCAGGCTACATCGCTGGCTCAGCGAGTCCAGGGGTGGTGCCAGGGACGGAACCCTAGCCCCTGTGCTTGCCTAACCAAGCATTTAGCCCACTGAGCTGTACTGCTGGCCCTTCAGCAATTTATTTTTAAGACTCTTTAGTGAGGTTTGTTTTTTTTTTTTTTTATCCTGCATGGATTTTGTTGAGTTCCTCAAAACAGTGCCTATAATTTTTATCTGTTTGAAAATTTGGGGCCATTGTTTTTTACATATATATCCTGTTCTCACCATTGATTCATCACACCTGGGACTCCAATGAGTATATTTTTACCATTTAGTATTGTCACAAATTTTTTGGCTGAAAATCTTTTTTAAACTTAATGGCAGCAAAACATGAACTCTGCTCTCCAGGCTTACCACTCCTTCCTGGAAATAATGAGTTTAATTACTAGGCAGTGCCCAACCCCTGCTGAGGCACTTGATACTATCTGACACATGCACCTCAGGCTAGAGAAAGTGTGAATTCAAAACACATTTGGTGCTAAATGCTTCGGATAAGAGATTATGTTGTTGTTCTTAGCTTTGCTATTTTCCCTGGGGGGAAAAAATCACTTTTTTCCTCAGAGCAAGTTAGCAAAAATTTTAGAACATGAGTCTACTTGAGGTATACTTCTGTTGAAATACAGGATCAATATTAAATGAAGGTGGAAAATGCAATGGAACCTTCAAACACTTAACCTACAATTTGCAGCATAGAGACATGCCAGTCATGGAAAGGAAAAAGCATTTGGTCATGGGTTTGGATTCTCTCCAATGTGACACTTTTTTAGTGACTTGTGGGTTAGATTCTGGACCCTCTCCTTCATCTTCATGATCCTGAGACCACTCCACCAGACTTCTGCTCTCTGGGGGGGTGGATGGGGTGGGACTGTCTTGTCTGCCCCCTGTGGTGCTGTCTGTCTGGTTGGCTGGGAGACAGTGTCTCCTATGTTCCGCGGTCTGGTCATCTGCAGGTTGCCCCTCTGGCCTCCTAGGGGTCTATCTGGTTGATGGGGACACTGCTGTGTGCTCTAACATATCCTCAGAGCTCAAACAGAGTTGTGGAAATATAATTTTAGTGTCTGTATTGTATATAACTTAGTGTAACATACATAGTAAGTTATAATGTATGAGTTACCATAGAAATCATAAGAGCTAATGATATTTAATAATCTAACATTTTCATGGCCTACAATGCACCAGGTGCTATTTTAGGAGTAAAACTGGGTCACTGAATCCCCAAGGGATCGCCCAGGAAGATAGGGACCACAATTAATATCTCTATCACACTGATGAGGAATGCCAGGCTCAGAGAGGCCCATTCTACCGGGCCGCAGTGACCTGCTGGCGAACGCTGGGTGCAAGAAATACTTCATGCGGCCTTAGAGGGCACACTCTCCACCAACCGAAGTCCACAGATCTAAGAACTGTGTACAAAGTATTATTTTATATCCTACATTCATGTGCATCTTAACCATACAAATTAGTAAATGCTTAAAGTATGCAATTACTTAAAATTCATCATTTCATCAATTTTACTTCATAAAAAATACTAACAGTATATTGTCAGCTACATGTATATCTTATAAAATGGTTTTATTTACTGTTTGCATTTACATATTTCTCTGTATTATATATACCTTATTCTTTGGTTCTTAACATGTTTATTATATACTGTTTTTATAATTATTAGGTAAGTGTATTATACATAAGCTTATATATTGCTTTTATATTATAGTAACTATATAGTACTTATCTGTTATCTATTACATATAAGGCATAAGGTGCCACATCAGTAATTGGTATTCATTGCCTCAATTATAATTAAAGTAATTATAAATAGTACCAAAGCCTTCCACCTTGCAATGGCTCAAAGTAGGCTAAGCACCTTTACTCACTTCAACCCACGCAATCCTCAGACATAGGTCTACATCTAGTTAGCGTTTCACAGGGTGGAAGCCACGGCTGCAGCGCTTGGAACGCTACAGCGTCGTCCGGGAAGCCTCTTACAAAACCCCAAACGTATCCAGGGAAGCGATCTCCCGTTCGCCAGCCCAGATGGGTCTGGCCGGTCCAACATCCGGAGATGCCTGCAGCTCCCTCCACCGCTGCCCCAGCCGCGCCCCTACCCAGAATTCTGCACCAGGCGACGGGCTGGGGCTGCAGGAGGTCAGGCTCTCTGGGGCTCCACCGAGTGGGGCTGGGAGTGGGGTGTCATCAGCGGGCCGAGAGGAGGCCAGAGGACTAAGCGCAGGCAATGTGCAGAGCGTCAATCAGATGCAAAGACACAGACCTAAAGAGCCACCCAGAAACAGACAGATCGCCTGAGCGACTCAGGGGACCCCAGAGAAAGACGCAGAGACCAGCAGGCGCGACTGCACCCGCTCTCGCCCTCTTTGTCAAACTGTCAGCCTGCAGCGCCTTCTGCCGGCTACCGAAGCCCCTCGCATCCTTCGGTACACTGCTCCGCTCACGTGGAAGCTCGGATCCAGCATCTGCGTTGAGCCAAGAGACAGTCCAGGCTGTCGAACCCGCCCCTTGTCCACTCAGCCAATAGTGTTGCGCAGAGGCGGTGCGGCGCCGTCATCAGCCAACGAAGACGCAGAAGCCCCTCAAAGCCACGCCCACCGGCGCTCCCCTCCCCGTTAGGCCTAGAAGCCTAATATGCGTGGTCTGCGTGGTTCCGCCTGGGTCCGCCCGGTTCCGCCCACGGGCCCCATCTAAGCAAGTGGCGTTAGGGAGGACCATCGCTTCTTTGGATGAACACTGTTACTTTCGCAACTCCATTCTTGGGGGGCACAAGTATGTCGGGGGGCTGAGCGTCCATTGCTCCAGGGCCGCTGAGCCTTTGGCTGATCACGAAGACCCACGAGTAATTCTCATTTCGGAGGGGCCCGCCTCTTACTTTAGGATCCATTTCCCATACGCTGACCAGATTGCGCGCCGCACTCCGATTGGACGCTCCCACTGCTCGTCAACTTCCGCAGCACCCCACCAAGTCTTAGCCCATTCCAGCTTTTCTTGGCGGATAAAGAATGACGTTGCCTCTTTTGTGGGGGAGCGCGTCTACTGGACAGGTGCGAGTATCCATCCTAAAGTGAGGAAAGAAAGAAGCTTGGGCTTTCAGTGGATCCAGGGAGATAGCATCATCAGTCGCCAAGCACTTGTCTGGGTAAGATTTAGACGGGGCGGGAGAAAGGTGACAGACTCCTTCTGATTGGGCCAGAAGCATAAAGGCCCGCCCTCTGTGCCCTACGATTGGCTGTGCGAGAGCCGCGCCCCCCTCACGCCGGCAGCCCCAGCGAGAGACGTGGGCATCCCCCCAACCGGCTCCGGAGCTGCAGCGGCTTTCCTACTAGAGTACGGAAGCGGCGCACCGGGTTCCGGACTTGATCCCAAGTAGATCCTGGAGAGGCGTGCTCTATCGTAACCGTGAGGGAACAGCGGTAGGCGGCGGGCGAGAGGAATTTCGGGGAGCGACCGAAGCTCTAACCGGAAGTGTCTTCCGTGAGGCGTCGTTTCCGGAAGTGTGGCCAAACTCGGTGGCACCCGGAAGTGTGGTGCTGCCCGGGCTCCCGGAGTCGAGCCAGTTGAGATACTGGGCTTAAACAGGTGTTTATGTATCTTTGTTTCCTAGGGCCACTGGAGCCACTTCCTGCGGCACGTGTTGGAGGGTGCAAGTATTTGGACATGATTTTGAATGTCTCATCGCGTTGAAAGCCGTGGGCGAAACAAGCCCTGGGAATGTTTCCAGCGGGCCTGGCTCCTTAAAGGCTTTTGAGAAGTTTCTTTTGCTGCCTGTCACCCTCGATTCCCCTTCCCCTAGGGATGTGCAGATGGAGGCCGGTGGAGACGCTGCTGCCCCAGCCCCCGGGGGCGCGCAGGACTTGGAGGACACGCAGGACTTGGAAGGCACGCAGACCCCGCGCGAGGAGACTGGAGATGGAGGAGTTCAGTCGGGCCCGCCGGACCCCGGAGACACGGACCCGGAGGAAGCAGGTAGACGCTGCCCTCACCAGGAATTTGGAAGGAATACGGGGGAGGTCATGTTGGGCGAGGGACAAAGAGGATTATGGAAGATCAGTGAATGGTCTTTGGGGACTCGGGCTTGAACCGCCGCCAAGTCAGTAGGAGGTAGTAGCAGACTCATTGGTGTAGTTCAAGTCATTAAGAAAAGAAAAGGAAGTCAGTAGGCATCAGCTGGTGTTCACCAGATGCAGTTCTGTGGTCCTGGGTAGATGCCTGTTGTGAAGGATCGAAGGCAGGGAAAAGGACCATCCCTGTTTGTCCAGGAATATATCCATTTTAGCCCTGGAAGACCCTTATCCTCAGAGATCTCTCAGTTCTGGGCCAACCAGAATGTATTTCAAGGGACTTGCATCAAAAAGGGTCCAGTTAGAGAAGACCTTTGAGGGTTTAGGGTATTTAGGTTAATGAACATGAATAGGTTCAAAGGAGGAACTATTTGGAAGTTAGTGTTTGGGGACACTGGGGTATAAAATCATTGCAATGGGAAAGGAGATCAGTGGAGACTACTGAATAGAAAAGGGTTGTTGGGCGGGGTTGTTAAGGAAACAAATGCTAAAGCGTGCTGTTGGTGATTAGTGGGAGAGGAGAAGAGGATCAGTGAGATTTTCAGAAAGATGATCCCTGTGTTGGTGCTGGTGTGTAACACCAGATAGTAGATAGGTAAAGGTGTTGCTGGAGGATCAGCAGAAGTCATTAGGAAGCAGGGCTTATTAGTTATTTTAGAATTAGTGGGTGTGAATGGGGTCGCTGGGCACTGTCAGCAGACCTCACTGAGAATAAACGGGTGAGATCTTTTAGGACTTGAGGATCACTGGCAGGTACCGGCAGTTATTAGGAAGGGTACTTGGTATTTGGAGATGGGGGTTTCAGTGAGTGCCATTGAGAGAAAATGAGGTCACTGAGATTTATGGGAAACTTAAGAGACAACTACAGATGGTTAATGATTGAATCAATAGGTGTGAGTGGGAATCCCTGGGTGTATGAGGATGCAGTAGGAATCCCTAAACTTGTGGGCTTTAGTGAATGTTCATAATGGTTATGGAGAACAGCAGTGGAAGTCATGAAAAGTCCTGTGTTAAGGGATATTCATGGTGGCCATCAGGGGAGTGAAGACAGGGGTGGGGTTCGGTGTAAAGTTAGTGTGATAGGGAAAAGGATCAGTGAGGGTGGTGGGTACTCGGAATTTATGTTTGTGAAGATTAGTCTTAGAGTAATTTGTGGATGAGGCTGTCATTGAGAGTCCTTGAAGACACACGTATTAGTGATTTAGTGATGTTAGTGAGCTGTCCTTCAGAGGGTGTTAATATCTTAGAGAGTGGAAGTAGAGAAAGTGATTAGGGTGTTAGGAGCGTCCTGAACACCTGGTTGTTACTGGATTGTTCTTTTTCCAGTATGGGATCCTGAACCTAGAACCCAAGTACCCTCACTCATTTTGGGTGTGTGTGTGTGTGTGTGTGTGTGTGTGTGTGTATTTTTTTATGTTGCAATAGGGTCTTAACCAGTTCCCAAGCTTGGCCCAAACTTGCAATCCTCTTGCCTTCATGCAGTGGATATTAGTTATAGCCACTGGGAAAATTAAGAAATTAGTGAACATCATTCAAAATATAAATAGTTCACTGAGAGTCAGAAGGAGTCAGATTCGTAGGCACCCATGAGAATAAAAAGTTGGGGAGGTAGAGAGTGGGAAATCAGTGGATGTTAATCGTGGCCACCAAGGGGAGTGCAGATACCAGGAGAATAAACAGTGGGTCAGGGGAGTTCCTGGGTCACTGAAGATGTTAGTAATGGTCACTGAGACAATGTGATGCTTTGAAGGCTTGGAAGTGGCAGTTAAAAGGGAAAAACTGATACACAGAGGTATAAAGAATCTAGTGATGAAAATAAAATCAAACTGGGTTATTTTGGTTTTCAGGGGATTGTGGGAACTTAGTAGATATCATCAGAGAGGTCCCAATTTTCTGTTGGGAGTCACTAGTTACTCAAGGACTTATCAGAACACAGAGGTTGTAGGAAGGCGGGCACAGGTTTGGTGGGTCCTTGGGAGCCCATGTGCTTAGTGGGGTCTACAGATAGATGACACACCAGAAGCTCCCTTCTAGGATCACAAGCCGAGGATGAGCCACCCAGCCGCCTGTCACCCCTGCCCCAGTCAGAGGTCCTGTCAAGCACGTGTGAACACTGGAGTTCTACAGCCTCAGACAGTAGTCCCATTCATGGTCCGGAGAGTGACTCTGTGGGCCAGGGCGGGGACCCCAGTGACGAGAACTGGCGCAACCAAAGGAAGCACGTGTTTGTGCTGAGCGAGGCCGGCAAGCCTATCTACTCACGTTACGGTAGCGTGGAGGCGCTATCAGCTACCATGGGTGTGATGACAGCCCTTGTGTCCTTCGTACAGAGCTCAGGGGATAACATCCGCGCCATCTATGCCGGTGAGCAAAGGGGTGTGGGAAACAGAACAGGAACCATGACTGGAAATAATGATGGGTGTGGGTAGGTGTGTCTCTCTGCCTGCCTACCAGCCAGGGCCTGGGTGTGGGTACTGTCCTGTCTTTAGTCTGCTGGGCTCTGGGTGGATGGGACTTGGGTAATTAGCCAGTTGTTCCCTTGCCTGACAGCGTGGCTGTGGGGGCTGTGGCTTGAGCTGGGTGTCCCAGCTCTGTGTCAGTCCTGGCTCCCATCACCTTGTCCCCACCACTCCCAGTCTGTGCTATCCCTCGACATCCCACGGTGACTACAGTATCTGTACTCCCCTGGCTTGTCCTTGCCCTAGTCTAGATGCTAGAGTGGTGCAGTGGATTGGGCCAGGTGGCTGTGTGTGTTGGGTCGCTCCTGATCCATCTTTACCCCTGCCCTCCTCCAGAGGACCACAAGCTGGTGTTCCTACAGCAGGGCCCCCTGCTGCTGGTGGCCATGTCACGGACTCCTCAGTCAGCAGCACAGCTCCGAGGGGAGCTGCTCGCCGTGCACGCACAGATTGTGAGCACACTGACACGTGCAAGCGTGGCCCGCATCTTCGCGCACAAGCAGAACTATGACCTCCGCCGCCTGCTGGCTGGCTCAGAGCGCACGCTGGACCGGCTTCTGGACAATGTGGAGCGAGACCCCGGAGCCCTGCTCCTGGGCGCTGTGCGCTGCGTGCCGCTTGCCCGTCCGCTGCGGGAAGCACTAGGCACGTTGCTGCGGCGCTGCACAGCACCTGGCCTGGCACTGTCTGTGCTGGCGGTCGGTGGTCGCCTGATAACAGCAGCCCAGGAACGGAACGTGCTGGCCGAGTGCCGGCTGGACCCAGCTGACCTGCAGCTGTTGCTTGACTGGGTAGGGGCGCCAGCTTTTGCAGCGGGGGAAGCCTGGGCACCTGTGTGCCTGCCCCGCTTCAACCCCGATGGTTTCTTCTATGCTTATGTGGCCCGCCTGGACTCCATGCCTGTCTGCCTGCTGCTGCTTGGCACCCACCGTGAAGCCTTCCATGCCATGGCCGCCTGCCGGCGCCTGGTGGAGGATGGCATGCGCACTCTTGGTGCCCTGCGTACCCTTGGGGAGGCTGCGAACTTCTCTGATTCCCAGGCAGCCAGTGCCCCTGCCTACAGCGTGCAGGCTGTGGGGGCACCTGGCCTCCGGCACTTCCTCTATAAGCCACTGGACATCCCTGACCATCATCGCCAGCTGCCCCAGTTTACCAGGTGGGCACAAACCCTATGGGCAGTTACCCCAGTAGCAAGATTTTCAAACCAGGAGAGTCAGCATCCTGTGGGTGTGACTTAAACGAGATACCCAGTCAAGTCCTCGAAAGAACAAATAGAACAGTTCTCTGATGACAGAAGCTCAGCTGACAACCTAATGAGCCCATTTTAGTGGAGAGAAGAACACCATTCTCAGGGAGTCTGTTAGCTTGGTGGGGGAAAGCTTGGTTGTAAGTACTAAGAATCCTCAGGTTTAACAGGAAAGGCTCAGCTCTGTAACTTAGTTAAAAATCCCTAGACAGAGGGAAGATGGGTTAGCCAAGTGGGCCCTCGACTAACCTTGTCCTCCACCTCCCTCCATCTTGGCAGCCCTGAGCTAGAAGCCCCATACAGCAGAGAAGAGGAACGGCAGCGGCTGTCAGACCTGTACCACCGCCTGCACGCTCGTCTGCACAGCGCCTCCCGACCCCTGCGCCTCATTTACCATGTGGCTGAGAAGGAGACACTGCTAGCCTGGGTGAGTCAGATAGGACAGAGAGGGAACTAATTCCCCACTTCAAGCCTCCTTTCCCTAAACATAGCCCCTCTGATCGAAGCAGCCATCACCAAGCACACCAAGTGCTCCCTGGGCTATGCCTCACCCATAATTCTCATCTGTAGCTTTACATGTTTATCTTTGAGCCACGTAAGGATTCATTCCTGCCTCCGACCCTACATCACACCTGTCTTGTCTACCTCTCCTCTATTAACAGCCAATGTAGGGTCTTTGACTTTCCAGAGACCCCATTAACAGCTATCACTGCCTGCCAATTCCGTTTCCCCCCAGTTCAGTTTTGATTCTGTGCGTCTCCAGCACCCTGTGAATGCCAAGGCATGGCCCCAAGCGGTATCCTCTCCGGGGGTGTCCGTCCTTCCATCAGCTCCCACCTCACTTCCTGTAGGGCTGTAAGGTCAGCTATAGAAGGAGCCCAATCGAGATGATCCCATAGAAATGGTGCCTCTCCCAGGCTCTGCCATCATTGATTAAATAATTTACTGTGTATTAAATAATTTGCTGTATATACAGATGAATTTTAGGTATCAGGACTTGTACTAGGCTGAAGATTTTTTAAATTATTTTAAGTTTTAATTTCCAAGTAACTCTAGACCCAAAAGTTGCACAAATAGTATAAGACTTCCCTTAAGGAGTCCTTTCACCTACTTTCTCCAAAGGTTAATATTCTATGAACCCACAATACCTTAACCAAAATCAGGATGTTAAAAAATGGTTAAAAAAAAAAAAAAA